GCACACACACACACACACACACACACACACACACACACACACACACACACACACACACACACACACACACACATACTGGCCAATGGAAGGCACAGCCTTGAGCTGCTGATGCACTGCAGGTAGAGCGGAGAAGAACAACTACAGCTAGTTGATAGACCTGCACGGTAAGGCACCACGTAAGTGGACTCTTCCACTACACATCTCCCCATAATACCTCTCCTCATCACTACTCCACTCCGCCTTGGGATGCTTTACTTCGCCAACCCAGCAGCCCGGTGGCAACGCACGAGTGAACTAACCTCCCTGACCGCCTCTCCTCCTATATACTACAGGAGCGGTAGACTCCACACCCGGCCTCTCCTAGGCCATCAGATCAAACTGAGATCTGATGGCCTGAAGAGCTGGCCCTGGCCCATAAATGTGTGGCCCCTACCTTGCCGCATCAGCATCAGGGCGTGGACCAAAAACTGGCCTCGCTCTATGGAAAAACACAGACCCAGCCACCAACGGTTAAGCTGGGCCAAGAAGTGAGATGGTAGAACAGTCTGTGCCTTTTCGGACAAAAAAAAAAAAAAAACGACACAATCCGGACCCAGGACAACACGAACTGGCAGCAGAAAACCGAACTGAGCTCGGAACAAACAACATATGCACACACGTGCCTGGAACTCACTGAGGGCCCTCATGATACCCAAGTCCCTCGCAACCCCTCATAACCCCCAAAGAGGGCTAGGAGGACAAAGGACCTGCCCGAAATGATGAATGGGCACCCCCCAGGCCTGGTGATTTGTACTTCAAGTTCTGCTGGTTGGGTGCTACACTTTGGGCTTTGTCTGAGCAAATCTCCAGAGGCAAACCACTGGGGGAAGGCTGTGGTGACCTGTCTTTGATACAATGTGAAAGATCTTTGGATGGTTTTGCATTTAATTGCTGTCCTACGGGCCCATATCTCTGCGCTGGCATGTCAGCACTGTCCAAATGACACAAAGTAGCTCTTCATGAACAGACCAACTTGCTCTTCTGAAGACCAAAAACAAGATCCCACAGAAAACTCTTCACGCTTTGTAATTCCCGGGCAAATTGTAACCCAAACTGACTGGACATGATGACTTCAACACTTGGATCCAACAAAACCGGAGATGAGCATACACAATGGACCCCTTCGTCAAAATGGCAGACATCATAAATCAATAATATCGCCTGCACATTCCCCATAGAATGCTAGAGATGCACAATTGTTAATGAGCAGGCAACCATCAGATACTGGTCTATGTAGGTTCTAACTTCTAACACCACACTTGCATACATCCAGAAGACTGCATGACACAGATTGCATAAGACGACATTATCCCTTCTTAAGATCAAACACAAGAACGCACATACAGACAAGCACGCCTAAGTGCAGCACACAAAATAAGGGGTTAAGACAAGGTTCATGAGAGAATCGCAAGCACACCTGATTGTACACAAACGTACTGGAGAGCAGGACCCCCAGTGAGAAAATCTGAGTGCTGTATGTTCCCTGCAAGAACGAAACAGAGGACATGAATCAGCTCCATAGGGGTTCAAACTGCCAAAACTCCCAACCCCCTGCCTTTCTCATTGTCCCTCTTGAGCCTCCATAAAAGCCATAGAATACCAAATTCCTTAAAACACCAGTGTGTTTCCCGGCTATTTTGTTCTGACACGGCATATTAACCGCCCCGTCCTTAGGGGTTCAGTCTACCAGGCAAAAGACCGGCGCAGCTGGGCAAACTGTGTGCCACACCGATTCGGCAAACCTTGGTGCACCACAAACATCTGTGTGGGGACAAAGACGCTTGGGTGTACCGGTGGTTTAAACCACCACAACATCTGCTACCCCCCTTTCTTCATGGGTAGGACCACAAGGCAGTTGAATGGGCTTGATAGAGCTTCAGAAAGAGGCTTCGCCATTGCAAGTTTCCGAAACAGTCCTGCTGTTCTGGCAGCTGATATGTCAGAGCGGACTCTCCCCGCCAGCTGATAGGACTCTCTCTCTCTCTCTCTCTCTCTCTCTCTCTCTCTCTCTCTCTCTCTCTCTCTCTCTCTCTCTCTCTCTCTCTCTCTCT